CCCATGTTGGGTGTCCCTGTGTCAATCGCCATGTCACACATCCCCATGTCAAGGTGTCCCCATGTTGGGTGTCCCTGTGTCAATCGCCATGTCACACATCCCTGTGGGTGTCCCCATGTCAAGGTGTCCCCATGTGGTTGTTCCTCTGTCTCCATGGCACATGTCCTCAGGTCAGGTGTCCCCGTGAGGGTGTCCCCTATGTTGGGTGTCCCCATGTCAAGGTGTCCCCGTGGGTATCTCCATGTCAAGGTGTCCCCATGTCAAGGTGTCCCCACGTTGGGTGTCCCCACACCAGGCTACCCCCGCGTTGGCAGTCCCCACGCTGGGTGTCCCCAGGTCAAGATACCCCTCCGTCACACGTCCCCACAGGGCGGGGTGTCCCCACCCGTGGGTGTCCCCTCACCAGGGTGAAGCCGTCGTAGATCTGCATCAGCTCCTCGGTCTTGTACTGCTCAAGGACGACGACGCCGTGCAGGGCGCCGCTGCGGCGCCGGGCGCAGCCCTCGCAGTGCACCAGGTACGTGTTGCGCCCGCCCGTCTCGCTCGTCACGAAGAGAATGTTGAAGACCTCCACCTGCGGAACCAGCGCCCGTGAGGACAACGGCATCCCCGTCACGGTTGACGACAACGTCCCCGACACCGGCGGCCCAGGAGTTTCCTGCCCAACAGCGGCGTGTTTCAGTTGTAGCGGTGGTCTCGGTTGGGTTGTTCCGTGGTGGTGGTGTTCCCCACCCACCGTGGCTTGTCTCCCTGCCCGCCGTCACCCATCCCCAGGTGTGGCTACAGATGTTTTAAGGGGCAAATGACAGCGGGAGGGGACACAGATGTGGTCATGGGACACTGTGCCGCCTGTCCAACCCCCACTGGCAGCACCACAGGGAGGCCATGGCCAAGGTCATGCTGTGACCACGGCCAAGACCACACCAAAGCCATGGTCAAGACCACGCCAAGACCATGGCCAAGATCATGGCCAGGGCCACACCAAGGCCATGACCAAGACCACGCCAAGACCATGGCCAAAGCTACGCCAAGACGATGGCCGATAAGACCTCAAAACCATGTCCAAGACCACGTCCAAGACGACACCAAGGCTGTGCTGAGCCCCTGCCATCACTCACATCGCACTCGTTGCAGTAGTAGGCCGGCTCGTCCTTCACCCGACCCTGGTAGGCGATCTTCTTGCCGGCACGGACCAGGCTCTCCCGCTGTACCTGGCAGTGCTTGATGGACTGCATCAGGCAGTACCTGCAACCGCCGGCGGGGACCCCCCGGGACCCCCCGCGCCCGTAAGCCACCGTCACCGCGTGTCCCCCCACCCCGGGATGGGCACGGGGTGGCTGAGGGACCCGGGTCTCCTGCCACATGTTCCCCACCCCCCAGCCAGAAGTGGCATCGCCACAGTCCTGAGGTGGCATCAGCCCCAGTGTGGTGCCGACCCTGTCCCCGGCGTCCCAATCCTGACGTCGCCCTGTCCCTGATGTGACCTTGGCCCCGATGTGACCTTGGCCCTGGTGTGACCCTGTCCCTGATGTGACCTCGTCCTTGGTGGGACTCCATCCCTGACATGACCCTGTCCCCAATGTGACCCCCTTCTCAATGTGACCTTGTCCCCAGTGTGACCCCATCCCTGGTGTGACCCTGTCCCCTGTGTGACCCCCTCCCTGATAGGACCTTGTCCCCAATACGACCTCATCCCTGCTGTGACCCCATCCCTGCTATGACCCCCCACCCCTGCCCACTGCTGTGACCCCATCCCCAGCATGTCCCCGTCCCCAGTGTGTCCCCATTACCGTCCCCGCTTTGTCCCCATCCCCGTTCCCAGCGTGTCCCTGTCCCCCGTATGTCCCTGTCCCCAGTGTGTCCTCGTCCCCATCCCCGGTTTGTCCCCATCCCCGGCGTGTCCCCGTCCCCGGCGTGTCCCCGGCACTCACTTGATCATCTTGTAGAGGTCGGGGTCGCTGATCTTGACGGTGCGGGCGACGTTCCAGGACACGTGGATCATGGGGACGATGGACTTGACGTTTTTCACCTCGTTCCACTCGTAGCGCTCCAGGGCCAGCTGGTACTGGTAGGCTGTTGGGGGGGGACATGGGGACAACAGGGACGTCAGGGGCCTCGCCGGGTGTCCCCAGGGCACGGTGGGTGTCCCCCACCTCCCCGGGTATCCCCAGAGTCCTACTGGTGATGTGTGCAGCCGTGGCCATGCTGCGTCCCCCCCTGCCATGTCCATGCTGTGTCCCCCTCCGTGTCCCTGCCACATCCATGCCATGTTCCCCATCTGCCATGTCCCCCCACCCTGTCCCTGCCACGTCCCCCTCCGTGTCCCTGCTGTGTCCCTGGCGTGTCCCTCCTTGTGTCCCCACCATGTCCCTGTGTCCCTACCGTGTCCATGCCATGTCCCTCCCCTCATCCATGCCACGTCCCCCCTCTGTGTCCCTGCCACATCCCCCCTGCGTCCCCTCCGTGTCCCATGTCCCTCCTCTGCGTCCCTCCCATGTCCCCGCCATGTCCCACCCCGTGTCCCCCCCGTCCCCGCGTACCGGTGAGGGGCCCGACGTTCCAGGCGATGTTGTTGCACCAGCCGGTGGCCTGCACCCAGTGCACGGTGCCGGCGTTGATCCACACCAGGTCGCCGGGCCGCTGGACAAAGCGGTACACGGGGATGTTGGAGCGGTACAGGTCCTCCAGGATGGGCCACCACGAGCCCGTCAGGTAGTCCACGCCGTGCCTGTCGTGGGAGGGGTGGGGTCAGGAGATGCTCCGCCCACCCCCGCCTCGGCCACACCCAGCCACGCCTCCCCGTCCCCATCCCGGGGTCCCCTTACACCGCTGGCCCCATTGCCCTTGCTAGATCTGGGCACGCCCACTGCGTTTGGCCACACCCCCAGCATCTAGCCACGCCCCCAGCAGCTGACCACGCCTGCTGGCTCCACCCCAACTGCCTGGCCCCGCCCCTGCAGCCACTGGGCCCGCCCCCATGCTGCTGCCTCTGCCTGCATTGGTTTGGGGGGCTGGCCATGCCCACAATGCATGGCCACACCCC